ATTAATTTCATTTTTAACTTACATCACAAAAATAAACTACAGAAATTAGGTTGTTACATTGACGATGTGACATTTAAAAAAAAAATTAATGTACCCATTTTTTCCCCTGTTTTTGTATTTGTTAAGCATTCTCTGAAGAAGGGAAAACAGTCCCTCCATTCTCTCCCTGCTCTCCTTTGTCTCTCTCTGGAGTTTGATGTCCTCCCTGAGTAGCTCCACCAGCCTCCACTCACTCCCTCACCTGTCCCAGGACACTTGCAATCCTAAGGCAGAGCAAATAAACCATGCCTGTTAACAACAACAGCACAATGAATTTCAGCAAAAAAAATGTGTGTATTAACCTGCTTACTTTGTATTTTTTAAGTCCTTCCCCGCAGGTTAATTTTCTCCAGAATAGTCCTAAAACAAGAGAAAATGGAAACACTTATGAAAAATATTAAGACAGGGGTGCAATCTTAATATTAGACAATATGACACAGCAGGACATGCATACAAAATACAGAAGTGCTCAAGTTTGGTTAAACATTTGTAGACATATCTTGCATGACAGCACTATAAAAACACAACAAAGGGAAAGACTATTGCCTTATATAGTGGTTGTCTTATTGTTTGTGGGCTTTGTGTAAAAAAAAAAAAAAAATTTTTTTAACACTTGTTTCGCTAGGTATTTGAGTAAATGAAAACACACATTTAAATGTGAATTCCTCTCACCCGCCATGTTTTTTAAATATAAATTCTTTGGTCATTTGCGCGCTATGAATCCTGGGATAGGGTAGGGTGCGAAGTGTCCATGGCTGCATCCGAAAACTGAAAAATGCTGCCTTCAGAGGACGCATTCCAAGGTAGGAAGGCATTAAGGCATGTAATTAAATACTCACTTAGTTATCACCAAAGCTCTCAATATTTTGCTGTAGACCATTAAACCGCTACGTTGCCTCAGAAGTCTGTCCAAAATCAGTTTCGTGAGGTGCCTTCGTTGCGTCAAACGCTGCCTGCAAGTCATTGCCTGATAGGGCAGTAAGGCAACAAGTTATGGCGTTATTTTAATGACAAATGTCGAGAGCGCATTATTGTAGCCTGAAAGCACATTAATATATTGCACGAGTGTGAATCTCACCACTCGCGCACGGATTTCCTTTGCTCTCGCACAAAACCGGCGCTCAGATATACGCTGCTCTCGCCCAGAGAGAGTGCGCGCGCTTAAAACGTGTCTCTCCTCTCACTCAAACTGTGTCCTGTGCACTCTCAAATCTCTCTGTGCTCATGCACTATAGATATTAATTATTTTCGCACCTGAATTAAACATTGTCAAAAGTTATCATTATGCACTTTTAAAAAGTAGTCTCAAAACAGATTTGTGCAGGGCCTTTCCTTGATTTTTTATTGTTGTATTTTTATTTTTACATCAAATTGTTATTGTAGCTACTTAGTTTTACTATATCTCTTTTATGTTTGTATTTTGATCTTTTCTGCGAATGCACATATGCACCTCTTTGTAAAGTAGGCTACTTTGTATACACTGGTTTAAAAGGTGCTCTATAAATAAAGCTTAAACCAATCAGACCTCCACAACTGACCGATGAAAATACTACGTGAAATCTAATTGGCTGAGTGAACTGAACCTGGAATTCTTTTGACAATCAAAGATGGATCTTTAATTTCTTTCCCGTTTAATAATATTTAGCCATGTTAATGAAATGTAGCCTGTAGAAATGGCTAGGAATTGGGTGCTTGGATGATTTGTACATATAACCTCTGTCCAACTGGTTGGTCTCTGAGCAATTTATTTAAAAACAACATATTATAGCCTATGGCTCTAAAGACTTCATATAAAACATCAATGTTATGTCATAATATGTCAGATACCTCAACTGAATTTAAAATCATTGCAATAAATTCTCAGTTGGTATGATGGCAATAAGTAATAACTCCTCAAATCAACATCAAATGCAAAAATTGATGTAAATGATGCAAGATATAATACAATAAATGCTCCAATAGCATCGCTGTTTGGGCATTTATTGGGAGATTTGTTTTTTAATCCAGTTTTCCGGTCTGAATTTTTTTTTTTTTCTTCTTGAAAATCCACTTAATATTAGCTACACATTCAATGGCACTCTCCTCTAAAACAGTGAATATACAGTTATATGACAGTTACATGTAATTACATTGTCTGCAAATGCATTAAACCCATAGAATAGAATGTAGTAATGTTATGGCAAATATGAACGTGTCTCTCCTCTCACTCAAACTGTGTCCTGTGCACTCCGGTTTTGTGCGAGAGCAAAGGAAATCAACGCGCAAGCGGAGAGATTCACGCTTGCGCATTATATTAATGTGCTTTCGCGCTACAATAATGCGCTCTCGACATTTGTCATTAAAATAACGCCATAAGTCAGCTGCTTAAGTTTTCGGATGCAGCCCTTAAGATGTCCACGTCATTTTCCTGGGAAATGGAGGGCGCATTTGACGACGCTTTCGAATCGTGGCAGGCTTCGTCGCCTTCGGCCTTGGAATGCGGTCTTCGGAGTGTGCATCCTGAATTGGAAAAATTTCGTGGAAAAGTTCATTTATTTCAGTAATTCAACTCAAATCTGACTAATACAGGATATTCTGTCATCATTTACTCACCCTTAAAAAAAAAGTATTTCAGGTTTCCAGGAATGATGAGCAAATAATGATAGAATTTCCTATTTTCGGTGAACTAACCCCTAAGCAAATCTGCCCTGTGTATCTATAGGCTTGTACAGTAGCTGAAATGTTTTCCTCTTTTCTCTCGTACTCTGTGCAGGAAATTTATGGAGTCTCTAAGCAGTGACTCTGTGTATAAAATAGACATGTTTAAATCTCTGCCTGACGCTCTGTTGGAAAAATGTGCATTTCTCAGTGTACGACCAGACACTGTCAAGAACCTCGTTCGGGCCATGCAAGGTGAGAGTGAACACACACGCACAAACTTAAAATTAGGACAAAAACATGAATTTTGTGATAATTAAATGTGCATTCTGACATTTAGCAGTATGTTTCTTTTTTTTAATCAGTCAGTTCAACATTAAAACTAAGAATTCTAATATGTAGTTTGTAAACTGTTGTGTCTTTGATAATTCTGAACAAATACCCAACAAATTCCTATTATCTACTATTGTTGTTTGATTTATTTATTTTTTTTGATGGATTTGATGACATCCAATTATGTGTGTTACCCTCCTTGTGAAGGGTGTCAATTATTGTCTTCTGGACAACTGTCAGATCAGCAGTCTTCCCCATGATTGTGTAGCCTAGTGAACCAAACTGAGAGACCATTTTGAAGGCTCAGGAAACCTTTGCAGGTGTTTTGAGTTGATTAGCTGATTGGCATGTCACCATATTCTAATTTGTTGAGATAGTGAATTGGTGGGTTTTTGTTCAATGTGAGCCAAAATCATCACAATTAAAAGAACCAAAGACTTAAACTACTTAAATCTGTGTGCACTGAGTTGATTTAATACACGAGTTTCACAATTTGAGTTGAATTACTGAAATAAATTAACTTTTTCATGACATTCTAATTTATTGAGATGCACCTGTAAAAGCGATCCATCTGTCATACAGTGTTATTGTGGCCGCGGTGTGTCACGTGACAAGCCTGATGCGTCGCCATGGAAACAGTAAGGGAAAACGTTCTAAAATAACGGTCGCCTTAAAAAAAATCACTCTTGGGGGACCGCTAGAATATTTTAAACTCGCCACTGAAAAGGTTAATTATTAGTTACTTACGTGGCTGGCGATGGAGGTCCGCACGTCAGTGAAGGTGGGGCAGCCAGGCAGGCCCATCAACTTCCACGCGTACTGGAAGTAGTTGTTTAAGTTTTTGCAGGGGTTCGGCGTGGAGGTGAAGAACAAATACTTCGCATCGGGACCGCCTGGCAGTTTCTCCTTCAGCAGGAGGAATCGCTGTACCCACCCATACTCCTCCTCTGTCAGGGCGATTTGGGCTGGGCCAAAATCCTGGTTCGTATTGTGGCTGGTCACCTGTGGACACCAGAAAACACACAAGCCACTCAGAAGAGGCAACTAACAAATTAAGCAGAGGTATGAAAAGCAAGTCATATGCTCACATTAATGAGATGTGACTTTTGAGATGTGGATCTCTGGGGCCCCAGCACCTCCTGGATGGTGATATTTTGAAACCCACCCCCTCTGTGGCCGTAGATAGAGGAAAGCAGCATGGCGAAGTGCCCGTAAAACTGCCACTGGACTTTCTCCGTGGGGTCATTTTCCAGGAGGGCTTTGGCCAGGAGAGAGCGCAACGTCAAGGTTCCAGTCTACAGTCAATGGCAGGTAAGTAAGCAGTGAAGGTAAGACTACTTACTCAATAGCTCCGGGATGGCCTGCGCCACCTGGGTCCGGCACTTCAGAAGGGTGGCCTTGGAGTTGACCCGAACCTCCTTTTTCAGCCTTCACCGAAGTCCGGTGGATGGCCACGCCCCTCTTCAGTGACCTGCGCAGGCTCACCATTTCACACCAAAGACCGATCAGGGTGTTTTTTGACAGGCGGCATGAAGACGGAGGGGTTTCGGCGATGTAGCAGATGAAGTTGCCAACGTTCATGACATAGTGCTGTGTGGTCGTCTCCGTCATGTTGGCCTGTCGAGGGAGCTGACCCACCTGCAAGCTGACAAATGGTCCCCGGTTAAAGGAACAATAAACTTTGATGACACTGCGCCAAAAACAGGGAACACTACTCACGCATGTATTTTGGTGGTTTCATTCAGGAAACAGAATCTGACAGCTTGCCCTTGCCCTCGGCCATGTAGGCGATGAATTTCTTAATTCTGTATATCTGACCGCCACCATTTTCCTTGAGTTTGAAGGTGGGATCCGGGCCTAGCTGGTGCCGCCTGTATTCCTCCAGGACCTCGTCTGCACACAAAAGGCAAAAGAGGAAGAGCAAAGACACAGTTAACACAGCATTTTGCAAAAGAAAAAAATACTAACTGCAAGAGAAGTGTCAGACTCACTCAGAACTGCCACGTGATCGGGATACTGCTGGGTTTTTTCTTCCCACGGCCGCTGAGAGGTGGAGGGCTTCTCGGCGCTGGTCGCGAACTTCTTGCCTCCGGCTTCTTCGGGCTGCTGATTAGCAGAGGGCTCACGTTTCGCCCCGTCTCAATGGCCAACAGCAGCTTCCTTTTCTCCTTGTTTTCCACCTTGTGAATGATGACAAGGTGCTGGCTGAGGCGGGTGTACATCCGCAGACACAGCAGGCATGTCTCCACAGGCATATTGGGAAGGCTTTTGTTGCAAAAGGTGAACACAGGTAAACGGATGGTAACTGGATAGGGGACTGGTGTGGAATGACTGGGTCCCTCACACTGAGGGCTTAGAAAGCCTTGGTTCAATTTCAAGTAAGTCACTCTACACTTACCTGAAAATGGAGTGCATTTTAAAGTAATTTACTCTAGATATTTTAAAATTTACTCATTTTTCAGGTAAGTGTAGAGTAAGTCATGTATACTTGCATGGGAATGCACTGCTTTCCCATGAGCCACCTTTTCACACCTGTAGCATCCCAACTGTAACCTAATAGGCTATCCGCGGACACCATGCGATCAAAGTATGCATATAAAAAAGTTTTAATGTCCACGGAAAACCTGTGTACGTCCTGTCAAATAAGTTACAGGTGATCAAATTACACTTGTAATGTTACACAGGCTTTCCGTGGACAGATCATTTTAAAGCCAACAATGATTATTTACAAACTGTAATATACATCAATGTGTTAGACGCTGCTTTCTGTGCACATTGCTGCAGGTTTTTTCAAATACATTCAATACATACATGAAAAATAACTCATAAACGCACTGTCCACAGAAAGCCTGTGTAGGTCCCACCAAATAAGTTAAAGGTGGTCAAGTGTCAAATAAAATACATTTTATTGTTTAAATATTTTCAAGTTTTAAAAATGCAATTACTTTTGACTGTAAAAAATAATAACCCCTCTTTGAAACATTTTTAAAAAGGTACTGCAAGCAGCAAGTCAGGGAATAATTTTTATTCAAAATTTACAAGGTAAGTTAAACAGTCTTATTTTGAGAATTGTGTTTGTAGAAGTTCAAAGCTAACTAACTTAATTTGCATTTCTATTCTATTTTAAAGATGCAGGTAAAATGCCCACTGTGTCCTGCAAAGGTGTTACACCTGAGGCACCACCTGAGGTCCCAACACAACATGCAAAACAACGAGGAGAGGCAAATCATGCTGCGCTTGGCCAGGGGGCGGGTCTTGCTGCGTGATGTCAGGTGTCCTGAGTGCAGCATCGTTTATAACAGAGTTGAACGGCACCTCAGATCGGGCCATCCAGAACTCATAGTAAGTCTTATCTCAAACTAGCCTGCTTGTTTTTATGGATTTATTTTTGGATTAATCTGTTTAAAAAAATCTTTTTCTTTAGGCAAAACAGGTGAATGCCCGCATTCGTGAGCTACAGCTAAAAGGTCAGTGTAGACCACCTGAAAAAGCTAAAGGCTCAGAAATGACGCCGAAGAAGGGGAGGAACGTCAGGTGGCACTCCCCCAGCCGCAGCCTCCAGAGAGCCAGCTGACACTCCCCCAGCCTGCAGAGGAGTGTTTCCAGTTGCTGGGCAGGCCTTGATTGTTTCATTTAAGAAGACATTAGTATTTTTTACAAGATAAAATAAAAACTTTTTTTTTTGGTGTGTTTTCATTGGAAATCAACCTCCAGGGGAACATGAACCTGCTAGGTACGTGTTAAGTGATCGGTTTAGTAATTATGCTATTCTTTGTCCATGAACAATACATTAACAACTTATTTTTTTGTAGTAGAATTACTTCTACAGGAAGACAATGCTCAGGATGATCTCATCTTTTCATGCAGCATAGTAAGTATTAGGTGATCAGTTCGTTTGTATTTAGATTCTGTTGTTTCTCTTTAACCTTAACACCAAGCTAATTCTGTTTTGATGTTGTTGTTTTTTCCTGCAGGATAACATGGACCTCTGCACACTCAGTTTGTCAGAGTTTATAACAATATAAACATTTAAAGTGTTATATATTTTTTAAATGTATATAGTTCTTATAATGTAAAATTTTCAATCTTGTATTTAACTATTTTATTTGAAAGAATTATGGATATTTATACGGTTCTCCGAAACCGTTCAATGTTGTTCAAAACTGTTTAAACTTTTAAAATTCAAACATAAAAATTTAAGATTAAATATTTAAATGTTTTATTTCACGACTACGAAGTTCTTTTTTTTTTAAAGAATATTGTTTATTTTTAGAGATTATTATCATGATATTTTTTATTCCACGTTTGTTTGTTTTTTCTATCATGCTCATAGTAAGTATTAGGTGATCAGTTCGTTTGTATTTAGATTCTGTTGTTTCTCTTTAACCTTAACACCAAGCTAATTCTGTTTTGATGTTGTTGTTTTTTCCTGCAGGATAACATGGACCTCTGCACACTCAGTTTGTCAGAGTTTATAACAATATAAACATTTAAAGTGTTATATATTTTTTAAATGTATATAGTTCTTATAATGTAAAATTTTCAATCTTGTATTTAACTATTTTATTTGAAAGAATTATGGATATTTATACGGTTCTCCGAAACCGTTCAATGTTGTTCAAAACTTTTTAAACTTTTAAAATTCAAACATAAAAATTTAAATGTTTTATTTCACGACTACGAAGTTCTTTTTTTTTTAAAGAATATTGTTTATTTTTAGAGATTATTATCATGATATTTTTTATTCCACGTTTGTTTGTTTTTTCTATCATGCTTTAATAAAAAATTTTAAACTATGATTTTGTCTCTGTGTTACTGATTTAAATCATTTGAATTAAAAATGGAAAACCCTATTTAAAAGGAACTTGCATATTAGACTATAGATGGTAGGGGGTCACATGGGCAGTCAGGGATACAATTAGGTTGGTTTTGGTCATATAGGTGATCAGGGGGACAAATAAGCTGTTCGTGGTCACATAGGTGGTCAGGGGGACAAATAGGCTGTCCGTGGTCAGCGGGCGGGGCCCGGGGTGGTACTTCGATTAAAGGTGGACAAATAGGCCGTTCGTGGTCAGTGGGCAGGGCCTGGGGGCGGTGCTTGGACAGCCAGAGGGCCAATGAGAAGTAATCGGCCATATGGTCCGTGGACGGCCAGCCACAACCTATTTGCCGTGCCCCGCATAGGAGGTCTGTGTCCAGGAGGCTGCCACCCTATGGCCGACCCCCAGAAAAGGCGCAAAACCGAAGGGCCGATTTGTCGCCGTTCTGCGGGGCCCCTGGGCGCCCTGGGTCTTAGCCGACACCTCTGGCCTAGAGGTCTACGCAGAGGACCCGAGACCCGAGGACCCGGGACCCGACCCGGGATCCGTAC